GAGATATTGAGACTCGAATATTTACCCTCACCCCTACCTTCTGGTGAAATGTTCGAGTCTCAATTTCTCAAGGCAGGAAGAGTCATTAACACCGAATATTTCCCATCGTACTACTATGACCATGGGCTACAAGTGTGGCAAGTTTGAAATCAAAATTCGAAAGTCGAATTTTGCTCGAAATCCAAATTGTATAGGCAAAAACTGACTAAAAATTCAGTATCTCAGCAACAAAGCACCATGGGGATGAAGCAAGTTGGAGTATTTCACTTCTCGTTAGGGCCTTTCCAACAAAAATAGTCCCAACGCACAATCGATTTATAACCCTACGTGGTTCCCTCGTGAGGTCGGCAGAGCAGCTATGGCAAGTGCGAAGCACTCTGTTGATTTGTTGGTCAATGTTGCACATGGTAAATCTAGCGGCGCTTCATAGATAGGCTGCCCTGAGACTGAGATTGTCGATTGCAGCATCATAGTTGCAATGTACAGTTCCTTATATATTGGAATGATAGTGTACTACACTATCATTCCAATATATAAGGAACTGTTAATACAATCTAAATGGCTGCCAAATGACTATCTTTGTACCGTACAAAGATAGTCATTTGGCAGCCATTTAGATTGTATCAATATCAGAAGTTTGAGTTAGATGAGTTTCCCCATTTTCTAGATTCTACTTCGATTTGTATCGAAATTAGACGTGATGTTGACTAATTTAACTTAAGCGCAAAATAACACGACTTGGTAACACATGAAATATAGAAACTAAATTCCCCTAGAGACCAGTGACTAACGATAAAACCGAAATCGCGGTTTAATACGTAAAGGAACGAAGAACGCCTAGCGGATTCGTAATCTTAACCACGAAACTGCATTAATGGTATTCCATTAACTCCCAACAAAAATGATAAAAATAACAAAAGTATAAAAAATGTATTAGCATGTTGAGCCAGTTTTCAATCATGATCATTATGATAAAAAATGTAGGAATATGATAATCTTAACAACAGTGAAAAGTTTTGGCATGATGTTTTATTTTTGTCAACGTTTCGAACAATACATGTTCAGTATCAAGACTGATGTTACGAAATAGTAAAAAATGTATATTTAGCAAATCTAAATTACACGTAATTTATTCGAAAAGAAAACAAGAGATAAAAATAAAATGACTCTCGTAGATATCACAAGTGCTTAACTGAGAGCCTTCCATAGCACCGTTTATAATCTATATCAATTTAATCATGTTCTGACGATGTTGTTACTGGCAAATGTTTGTGATTCATGCTCAGGTACTAATTGTTTTCTGTTTAATTTTCCATCATCATTCACATCATCTGTTTTCTCTAAGAAAGTATCATGAGGACGAGAGTGGAGGAGTTGTGCGTCTTCGCCCTGAACTTTTTCTTTTTCATTTGTTAAGTATTTACAACATTGTAGTGATCCACATAGATCTTGATTCGAACATTGATAAAGACAGTCAACTTTTTCGCTGTCATTTGGTGTCTAGAAAAAATAAATACGATCTTTTTTTTGAACAGTAATGTGTTGTTTTTTTGAGGGATGCGGTTGAACGCTTCCCTTCGAGTAAGTAAGGGAAGCAAAAGCAAGCAATTTCTGTTAAAAAATCAACTCGATACGTATCAAACAAAACAAATATCTTTTCACATTCAAAGCTACTGTTCTATTTCATTCTCTCTATTCGAGAGCGATCGGAATTGTTCAGTTCACACAAAAAAAGCACATCTATCGGGTTGGTTTCTTCTCCTTTCTGTCAGATGATTCCGAATCAATATGGCCATGTTCAGACTGCAAAATCATGAAGTTTTCTAATCAGAATCTGATTAGCCAAAAAACTTAACTCAGATTTAACTTGCTAATCGTAAAACTTCACTGAATCTTGTAAAGTGAATATGGCCTACGAATTCAAAAACGAGAAAAGTAAACATGTTTTTCCCTGTGGGACAAAGAATTATGAAGGACGATTGGCATTTCTACTCACAAGTCTATTAGATATACAGACCATACATACAAGAGAGAATTCTGGTTGAATTGTCACATGATCGATGCTGAGTGCTTGAAAGAGTAAACTAATTTCTTTGTATTTTGTTTGTATTCCTTCTGTCGTATCAAAAACAATATGAATTGTTGCCAATGTTTTTTGAGGTGTTAAACGCCATATGTGCAATTCATGAATGCTCGAAATACCAGATATCTGAAGACAAAATAATCATAATTACAACAGATTTTAAAATTGAATTAATTACTGTTTGTTTTAATGTTGTTTCAATTTGATCCGACTTTAATCCTTTTGGCTTTGCTTGTAAAACAAGATGCATTATTTCGTTGACTAATGATTAATCAAAATTGATAAAAAAAATCTGACTGTAACTAAAATCAGAACAGTACTTACTTGGTCCAACAATCATGAGTAAATAAAAGAGAAAGAGTACGACACAAGCAATGGGATCTACCAGTCGACTGTAGATACGTCGTTTTTCATCATAATTGGGTTTTTCAAAAAAGATAATCAATAACAGGCCACTAATCAGAATAACAAATGGTCCCAATAACATGTTGAGTACTTGAAGTAGCGAATGACCAACAGGTAGTGTATCGGTAATTAACACTAAAATATGCAAAATTTATGTGAATAAAATTTATGACTATCTCTTGCCCTTGCTCAAGTATGTCATAAGACATGGTTATGTATAGTTACATGCTTTTGACAGTTTTTCGGGTAAGCTTTTTAAACTGTTTCTTCTCATTCGTACTTGTGTATTAATTCTTGCATGACGTTTCAGAACAACATCTGAAAATACAACAAGACAACGTATGATATCATTTGTTGAAATGAACTAACTAAATTTTTACATAAAACAGCAATGCCAAGTAAGGAATTTGAAATTGTTGCATAAACACCGATACCAAATATAATTCGTGGATGATCAATTAAACTATGTACGTGTTCTATATTAGAAAAGTATAAAAACACGGGTTTACTATCAGAGATTAGAGGTGAGAGTGACGTACATTTACCATGTCCATGAGCAGTAAATATCGTCGAATTATATTCACGTCTTGGTAAAACAAATATAATATCTGAAAAAAAGATATTATAAATTGATATTTTGTAAATTTTACGCAAAATATACTGACCAATTACATGTTTTATACTTTCCATAAATACCGATACGGATAATGAACAAAAACTAATAAAGGCAATTAGTTCACCAACAACACCAACTAAAACACGTATTCATTTAAACATGTCAGTACAGAATCAGAGACCATTGCTGTTATTACCTCGAGCCAATCCATAGGTGTGTCGTGGCGTATAAGTAAATTGAATCTGGAAAAGAATTTGCATTCAATAAAAATAATTGAACACCTGTAAATCTTACTCTTGAAGATAAAATTCGAACAGTACATAAAATTGCTTGGCATAGACGATAATAGCCGTCTAATAACATGACAACTAAACATAAAATTACGTCAATAAATGATCTACTACGAATTTTCTTTTTTATACCTGAATGACATGCATGGTAAGCTATTATTTCCAGTATAAATAAGCCTAAATTATTAATTAGCAAAGTCACAGCCAAATACATGTTCATATCAGACATGATTAATTAATCTAATTAACTAAAATAAGTGGTTAACTTCATATTAAAAAAAAAGATTTTAATTTTGTCTCAGAACCCTATTCTAATGAAGTTTTTACCGGTGATGACCCTCACTACTGCAGTTTTGTACAAAACTGTGTGTCGTTTCACATTTTTATATCTCTCGATGGTCAAGTGACAGTGATATTACATCTCTAATTAAAAGAACTTTATGGCCTAAAATGGTTCGCTGCTGGCCTTATTATTAGAAACAATAAAGATATAAACTAACTAAAAGAGGATAAGACGTAGTTATCTGAGGTCATTGAGCACTCATTTTACTTAAGTGATCATATAATTAAAAGATAATCTATCGTGCCGCCTAAGTAATCGTACAAATATTAAAATTTATCGTATTTGAATGAAATCCTAATGAAAGTACTAAATAGTGAGTACTAAATACTAAAAATTTTTCACATGAGTATTAAAATTAGTACCTCATTGTTTAGTACCAATCTTCAATACTCATTGAATAAATTTACTGTTATTTGTACTCAACAGTTTCTTTCATCGTTTTGTTTTACTTTTAGTAGCCCTATATAAGCAGCACATATATTTTATAGAAAAACTTTAAATGTTTTTTTACAAGTTATTTTGTACATCACTAGGAATGCGTCTGTCTGATGAAGTGGTCAGGCGAACACGTATACTGAGTTTTAGAAGTACTCTATTAAAATAAAATATAAATAAATAATAATCCAGCATAAGTAGAAGCGTTAGCCGTGTCGCTGATGCCATCGTCGAAAGAAAATTTTAAAGTTTTACACTGCTGTTGACAAAAAAATGTTGAAAAAAAGAAATTCATAACTCTTCACCCGAGCAATGTACAGAGTTGGAGAACATCTTATTTTTTACCTTGAAGATTTTTCTTTCAAATGGTAAGTAAGCACAGTCTAGCTCAAAAAGACAACCTAAACACACCTGCTTAATTTAAGAATTTGCTCAATTACCATTTGGAAGAAAATCTTTAAGCTACAAGATAACATGTCTTCCACTTAGGCATGCAACGATAACGATTATCGGCTTACCGATTATCGCTTCCTACCGATTATCGTTATCGCAGTTATCGCTTCTTACCGATAAAGCAGATAAAGTTTCTGACGCCTGCTAAACAAAATCAGAATAAAGAAACTTGCAATGTATACAGTAGACATTTGCCAAGAATCGAAAAGAAAGATATCTTTCAGATATACACCGTGCATATGCAAGAAGAGATATCTTCTTATTTCCTAGTTCTCCGATGCAAAGAAGAAAAGAAAAACTAGAATGCAATTGTGCTTTGCACAAGTTGCGATGTCGACAGATCTTGTATGTGCTGAATAATGACAAAAAGCGCGAGTTCATAATAACTCTTTTCAACACAATAGACGGTAGTGTACAGGTACTAAAGTAAAATCTGTAGACCTCGAAGAAAGAAACATTAAATCTTCGCATAAGTAAGGCTAAGCTATTGTTTCTTCTTTCATCAGATACCTAAAAGAGATATCTTATAAATTATTCTGGCTAACGAATCTTCTTTTCCTTCTTAATTTTCTTCTTGTCTTTCACTCACTAAAAAGAATTCTTTTCTCAATAAAGAAATAAACAATTTATTTTGTTCTCAAAGTTCTCCTTAAAAATGACGCCGGCAACAAAATGTATGAAAAACTTCTAACGAGGGAATCTCTCGAGGTGATTAAAAGCTTTTCGACTCAGACTATTTTCATCATGTAGGGAATAGTCAGCAGTGAAAAACCCCAATCCATATCTTGCAAAAGCTTTGGTTTATTAGCCTGAAAGTGTCGCAGTGAGTAGACAACATCTATCTTCAACTGTGGTGAAAATTTCCGACTCCTAGCTGATCGTGGTCGTGAGCTATTAATTAATTATTA